GACATTTGGTTTGTTCCTCAATGGTCACCAATTCGAGTGTCCTCGGGGCTACTAAGGTAAGTATCCCATAGTAAAACTTCAAGGTCCCATGAGATTAGTCGAGGTGAGCACAAGTTGGCCTATACATCCACTGTTATTAAAAAAAATATTGGTCTTTAACAGACAATCATGCAATTTTTTGTATTATAGTTAAAAAATATTTTATTTCTTTTCTTCAATCGAGCCAATCATGGTATTTTTTAATTAAGATTTGAGTCTCTCCGTCAAGGTTGATTTTATTGTCCTCTGCAAAACACTTTCCTGAATGTAAACCCAACTGTTCGTTCGTTCTATAATTTCAATTTGTGCGCATTTTCTCATCAAAATGTGTTTTGTTTGGTTCATCAATGCACTTTGATTATTAGTTCGTTTCAAAAGATTTTCATTTGTCTTTCTTTTAATTGAATTAATTGTAGGATTACGTGATTCTAGGTTGTTTTTCTGTAGATGTATGCTCCATTGTTTCTGTTGTTGCTATGTTTAATATTTTGAAGTGGGAATTAACATATTTGTTTTGATATATCTTTTCCCCCAACTCTCGCCTCATTTTCCATAAGTATCTTTTTTACAAGTCTTATAAACGCTTCTTAGTTTATTGTAATTAGTGACTTCTACAACAAGGACAATGGCTTCTAAGGGAGGCGAAAAAGACATGGTTATCACTCAAATTGGCGTTGGTGGGTTTGAAGATTTTGTCACTTGTTTGGAGGTGCCGATTGAAGACTTCCTCAACCCCATCTAAATCATATCCAAATTACGTGGTCGATACTGAGAGTGTACTGTCCAGATAAAGCACGACTATTTGCTACAGAACTGCAAATGATGATATTGAAGAACCTGTCCCATTTGATTTGTTGGACGCCAATGATCCATGGATTCGTACTACTGATTTTACACCTAGTAGGGACAATTCGTAGCTGTAACATTTACCTAATTTCAGTTCGACCCTGCGACGGTCCAAGCTTCAATAATGTTTGTGTACATCTTCAAGAACATAAGGTGCCAGTTCTAAACAACAACCCTGAGCTTAGGGAAGTGATCGGGGAAGTCGATGATCTTGCCTTTGTAGCTGATCGGGGTCAATCTCTAATAAATACTATCGTTGAAGTTTTCCCCGAGGCACATCATGGGTACTGCATGTACCATATACAGCGTAATTTGAAGACTAGATATCGAGGCCAAGGCATCGTTGGATTGTTTATGAGACCGGCCAAAGTTTTACCTGCACTACCAGGGGCAATCTATATGTATACAGGGTAATTTGAAGACTAGATATCGAGGCCAAGGCATCGTTGGATTGTTTATGAGACCGGCCAAAGTTTTACCTGCACTACCAGGGGCAATCTATATGTATCGTACTTACGCATGATCCCCTTCGACCTCGAGTGTGATCTGGTGAAAACGTGCACTGTGTGCTCGAAACATATCCGACCCCGCAGATATGTGTTGAAGACATCAAGATCGTCGATAATCTCCAGACGAAAAAGGTTGATCACAATCTTCCTGTGGTGACATCTCAACATGCTCTCAAGGATATAGACCAGGCCGAGCTTCGGTTTGTCTAACATATGGTCACACCCCCTGATCGTGTCTATTAGCTGTGGCAGAAGTACCGTCCCATGTCCCTGGAAGTAAGTGTGGTGACATCTCTACATGCTCTCAAGGATATAGACCAGGCCGAGCTTCGGTTTGGCTAACTTATGGTCACACCCCCTGATCGTGTCTATTAGCTTTGGCAGAAGGACCGTCCCATGTCCCTGGAAGTAAGCATCGTACAACCTGCTACTTCTTTGAGTACCAGAACGAGCTGCATCATCACCCGTGATCAGGATAGCTCGAACATAGAGAAACTGACAACTTTGCCCCCCGAGGTCGAAGTGGAGGACATCGTCGTCGACTGGACTCAACAACTGACACAGTAGTGCATTGATGATTTGCCCCAAGAACTGCACAGCTTGACTCGTACAGGGGCCAAAGAAAGGACATGTTAGCATGTCTGCATGTTGCTCATCCAGCAGCTCCAACACGTCGGTGTAACTACCAAGACTACCGTTCTAGGTACGACATCTGTCTCAAAGTTGAATTCAAGTGGTACTACATGCTGCAAAAATTTAAATATTAGCACATCGAATATAAGATAATGGAATACATCATAATCTCAGAAAATTAAGTTAACCGAATTGCAACAACTGCACGGAAGAAAGAATTTTAAATTAAAAAATAAAAGAAATAAAGACTTTGCTAATTTTGTTAATAATAATATTTCATTTTGGTAATTATCAATTTAAATTTCTTCATTTAATTATATATATTAAAAAAATTAAACAAAGGGAAAATTATTAAAAGGAAGTAAAGGATATAAATATTATTTAATTAAATTAGAAAAAATTAAAGATTTGTTTACAAAGAATATTTCATTAAAGAATTTTAAATTAAAAAATTAAAAGGAAAAAAAAAGAATTTGCTAATTTATTAAAATAGAATATTTAATTTTGGTAACTATCAATTTAAAATTATTTATTTAAAACAAAAGGAAAATATTACAATTGTGTAAATAATATGAATATTATTTAATTACATTTGAAAAAAATTAAGGATTAGTTTACAAAGAATATTTGATTAAAGAATTTTAAATTAATAAAAATATTAAAAGGAAAAAAATAAGAATTTGCTAATTTGTTAAAATATTTCATTTCATTTTCTTAATTATTATTTATTTAATTATATATAAAAAAATTAAAACAAGCGGAAATATTGAAATTAAGTAAACAATTTAAATATTATTTAATTACATTTGAAAAAATTAACGATTATTTTACAAAGAATATTTAATTAAAGAATTTCAAATTAATAAAAATATTAAAAAGAAAAAAATAACAATTTTCTAGTTTGTTAAAAAATAATATTTTATTTGGTAATTATCAATTGAAAATTATATATATATATATATTAAAACAAATGGAAAATATTAAAGTTAAGTAAACAATTTAAATATTATTTAATTACATTTGAAAAAATTAAAGATTAATTTACAAAGAATATTTAATTAAAGAATTTCAAATTAAGTAAAATATTAAAAAGAAAAAAAAATTAGAATTTGTTAATTTGTTAAAAAATAATATTTCATTTTGTTAATTATTAATTTAAAATTATTAATTTAATTTTATATAAAAAAATTAAGACAAACGGAAAATATTAAAGTTAAGTAAACAATTTAAATATTATTTAATTGCATTTGAAGAAAGTAAAGATTAATTTACAAAGAATATTTAATTAAAGAATTATAAATTAATTAAAATATTAAAAGGAAAAAATATGAATACGCTAATTTGTTAAAAAAATAATATTTTATTTTGGTAATTATCAATTTAAAATTATTTATTTAATTATATATATATAAACTAAAACAAAAGGAAGTTATTAAAGTTAAGTAAACAATTTAAATATTATCCAATTACATTTTAAAAAATTAAAGATTAATTTACAAAAGAATATTTAATTAAAAAAATTCAAATTAATTAATAAATTAAATGGAAAAAAATAAGAATTTGTTAATTCGTTAAAAAATAATATTTCATTTTCCTAATTATCAATTTAAAATTATTTATTTAATTTTATATAAAAAATCAAAACAAACGAAAAATATTAAAGTTAGGTAAATAATTTAAATATTATTTAATTAAATTTGGAAAAAAATTAAAGATTAGTTTACATAAAGAAAAAAAAACAAACGAAAAATATTAAAATTAGGTAAATAATTTAAATATTATTTAATTAAATTTGAAAAATAATTAAAGATTAGTTTACAAGGAATATTTAATTAAAGAACTTTAAATTAATTAAAATATTAAAAGAAAAAAATACAGTTTTGCTAATTTGTTAAAAAATAATATTTCATTTTGGTAATTATTAATTTAAAATTATTTATGTGATTATATATATAAAAATTAAAACAAAAGGAAATTATTAAAATAAAAAAGAATACAAGCATTATTTAATTAAATAAATAATTACAAAAAGAAAAAATGAATTAAGTTATATTTAAAAATTAAATACATAATAAAAATATTTTTTAAATTCGAAATATTGAATTATTAAAAAAAAGTGTCACAGCTGTTAACAGCCGACTTTTGGGCCGACTGTTGCGCCTGCTGTTAAGCCGATCCAAAATCGGCCAACTGGCTGTTAACAGTTCGATCGGTTGTTAACAACCAACATTTCTTGAGGCTACCATTATCGGCCATTTTGAGCTCAAAATGAGCTAATGTCATGTAAAACCACTACATTTTCTCTACAATCATTAATATTGAAGCTAAGCTATATATGAACAAATAAACTAAAAAAAATGTAAAAATCATTGGAATATCTTATATGAAAAACACTATTTTTAATAACAAAAACTAACCTCTCCTTCGTCGGTGACGAAATCCTCTTTGTGGTTGTCGGCGCCGGTGACTTCACAGACGATTTCGTGTTTGGTGTCAGTTTTCTTCTTTTGGTTGCGAGAGTATGGTTTGGTATAAGGTGGGGGTATTTTTGCCTTTTTATTGTGTGAAATTTTGTTTTGACTTTTTTTTTTTACTTGTCAAGGGCGAAATATTTTGTTGTCAACAAGAAGCCATTTTCAGTATTTCCGCCTTAAAACTTGCACGGACCCGTGGCATGCTTCGGGATACGTTGCTGAAATCCGAGGAATCTTCAATATCATGCTTCCGTGGCATGCTTAGCGATACGTTGCTGAAATCCGAGAAATCTTCACTATCATGCTTCCGTGGCATGCTTCGGGATACCTTGCTAATCTCTCCCAGCAGAGAACCAATTCCCCCAGATCTGATTCTTCACTATCAACAAGAATCCCTGATTATATAGCTTGTACATATTTCTAATTCTTTTCAATCTCTGATCTCTTCAATTGAAATCGGTTCTTTAAATCAATCAAGAAAAGCAAAATACAGACAGAAATGGGTTGTTTGCAATCAAACCCATTTCGCAGGATGCTCCTTTTCCTCATCCTTTTCCTCTTTCTTTCGTTTTCATTCCCTCGTATTTTCGCCCAGGTAGTATCGTATTTTCTTGCTTTTTAGGGATTTGTATTTTGAGTTTGACGTTCTTGGTAATCATATTACGTGTGCTTAATTTTAGGAATCTGATGGTGATGATGCAACCAAGGATCTGGCTCGGCGTAGTGAAGTGAGTAATTTGTCTTTCTAGATTGAAGAATCTGATAATTTGACGGCTGTGTTAGTTGTGCTAGATCAGATGTTACCAAAATGTACTTTATACCAACTTTGTATTTTTTTGCTTACCTTGTTGTACTCCTTTAGTTCTGGTACCATGATTGGATGCAAGTAATGTAGGTGGATTTACAAGCTCTGGCATGAGCATGTTTGTGGGTTGTTTGTTTGGTTTTTTTTTTGATAACTATGAATATTCGGGCAGCTTGCGCACACCTCTACGAATCCCACGAGCCTAAAGTTTTACAATCGACTACTCACCTCAATGGCCTTGGGGACTCGACTGGGGCGTACCCATTAAGGGTCCAGATTTTTAGCCTTGAAAAAAGCCCATTTATAACCCAAGCCCAAGTCTTTTAACATTTAAAAAAAATGGCCCACATTGCAATTCTCAAAGCCTGCATACTCCTTCCCCTCCCGCCAATTCTCAAACCCTGCAACCCTATGAACTCGTTCCCTTCCCCTTAATTCCCAAACCTTGCGAACTCATTAGGCGACGGTGGGATACCAAATTCCAATAATCGATTTACCATATTTTGAAAGAGGAAGAGGAAGAACGGATTGAAGATTTGAAGAAAGTTTTGTGAGTTAACTCAATTTCGAAATGAATTCGTTATCCACGCTACCTAACTTTTTACTTCCTGGATTTGGTGTATATGTAGTAGTTATGTATAATTTCAAACAAAAGCTAGGGTTCTTTATGCAGTCAACATGATACACTGAGAGGTGCTTGGACCCAGATTTGATGCGGAGTGATTGTGAAAAACCGGTCCAAGTGTCCCACATTGTTGGAGATTTCTTTTAATTCCTCTGATTTAATGGTGCCCACCAGGTGTTCGGTTTTTGCTTGATATATAATGAGATGATTTGGACTTTGGTTTCTCTCTTTTTATTTAAATCTTAGCTGTCTTTGTTGATGGTATATAGCTAATAAGAAATACTAGAAACTATAGATTAATTTGATGCAAAGAATAGAAAACGAGGAATTCAAAAATGAAGATAGAAACCTAGGTTCTTATGTACGAAAATCAGGTGCGAGAATCATTTTTTCTCTCAGAAGTTTACACAATGTCATTTCCCTTCAATTTTATGATTTAATATATGCTAGTTTGCTGTTGAATTGAGTACCATGTTACCTGTTAACAAATTATAATAAAAATCTGAAACAAAGATTGAGATGCAATAAACCAAGCATTTATACTCTTAACCAAAATAAACATGATTGTTCAATGGTGAAATTATGTGGAATGAATCAGTCTCAGTCTTGCCAGATACTCTGTCTAACATGTAGAATAGAGAGAACACACGGATTCTACAAATGACAATATAATATTTATCTATACCTACACAGTGGAGGAAAGGGAGAGTTTAGCTTAATGTTCACCAAGAAATGCTTCAATACAACAAATGTCTCAAGTCTTTAAATTTGTTGCTGCATGTTTTCTTTTTCTTTTTCCCCCCTTTATGTTTGGGTGTTTAAGATGATATAGATAGTGTATAGTTACTGATTTGGATTGATCTCAATTTCATCGACTGCGTAATCAGATTGGAGACCAATGGATGAATGATAGCTTAGTTGTTTATGTTGAAAAAGAAGTATTTAATGAAATTAATAACAAGACTAATATACAACGTTTTCGAAGTATGAGAAGCCGTAAGGAACAATTGTAAAAAAAAGTACTACATTTTGAATATTATCTTTGTTGTCTAATATGAAATTATTTATTACGTAATTCTTTTTTGCCACCCGAACCATAATCCTGGGTCCGCCTCGGGGACTCGAAGCATGTTTGTAGGTTGTTATTAATCAAACTCCAGCCGTTCTGATCTCAAGATTGATCAACTTATAAAATATAATAAGAAAAGGATTTCAGGTGTATCACTTGGATTTTTATGTTATTTTTTGGTCAGGGGACAACTGAAAATAAGTGAATCTTAAATATAATTTTTCTTGAAAATTGATTCATGTTCATAGTGTTTATTATTTTTTCCTTTTCTAGTGTGGTTACATGGTGCATCTTTTGTATCTATGGACTGGTTGTTATAGTTTGTGCTCATTTGTTCATTTTGGTTGATAGATTTTTGTGGACAAGATAAAAACTGGTATTGTAGGAGATGAGAAAAACCCTGATTCCATTAATGTTGGTGTTGGCCTGGACTCTGGTCTGGGAATATTCGATGCTTTCTTTGCAAGTTTCTCCATGATTCTTGTCAGTGAGGTTAGTGTATTTGCTTGTGCAGTATCATTATATTATGTATCATATTGAGTCTTGCTAATGATGTGTTTGTTTCTCTGCTTTGATGGTTCTTACTAAAAATTAAGTTTTTAGTGGTTGTTGGATGAAATAACAGATTTTTGCCAGTTTTACAATGAAAACATAGCAGAAAGAATATTTAAACTACATAGTATTTATTTCATCTTGTTTCTTTAATTTAGTCTAACGAATGTATTCTACTGATGGCTGCTGCTAGATTGGAGATGAAACATTTATTATAGCAGCTCTCTTGGCAATGCGTCATCCCAAGTCAATAGTTCTATCTGGTGCACTCAGTGCCTTGATTGTGATGACGGTAAGATGGTTAACCTCTTATACCATTTCCTGAGTGAAGTGTATGCTTCCTTTACAATCAAGGAATGGGAGCCATATCTTTTTGATTCTCGAAATTGTTGTCTTGTGGAGAAAATGTTTTAAGGCTTAATAGCAAAAACATCCTTACGTTCTCAATTTTTTGCATTTTCACCCATATTTCAACGTTTTATTGCTGAAAACGTCATTTTCACCTATTTTTAACTAAAATGACCAATATACCCTCTTATATAAATAAAAAAAAAGAAAAAATAAATAAATTGCAATCTTACTCCTAAACTTTTAAAAAATGCAAATGAGTCCAAAATTTATGAAAATATTAAAAAAAAAACTCTCACTCTCTTCTCCTAGGCCTCCCTTAGCCTACGGCCGCCAAAGCCGCAGGACTTGGACACCGTTCAACAACCCTCAACTTCCATTGGTAAAAGAGAGACTACAATCCACCGGAATTCCCCATCCCGCCATCACTACCCAGACTCCATCACCACAATCCACTCCACATTCTATAACTACAACCAAGTCCAACAAACATTACAATGAATAATGATTTTTGGTTAAAGACACATGAATAATTTAAGTAAATAATGATTTTTATCAATGGCAGTGGTCCCACCACATGAATTGAATTGGAAGTGGGAGAATTGGAGACCTCAATATTCGTGCGTAATGGTTTGCACACAAATCGGCCTCCGCTGCTGGTTTTCCTCAAAATTGAACCTATTTCTGCATTACCTATGCTCCTTGTTGCGTTAAGAAGGTTTGATAGAGGGTTGGATTGGGTGATAGTTCTGGTGCATTAGAGTGGGTCGTAAAATGAAACCACCAAATCTGTTGCTATTTGTTGAAATTGATGGCTGGGGTTGTAGGGGAGGTGATTTTGTCACCGATGATTATGGGCCCTATGGGTTGGGGCAACGATTTCCTGCATTGGGTGGGTGCAAATGGACTGCAGTATGTAATGTTTGTGGGTTGTAGTTATAGGATATGGAGTGGATTGTGGTGATGAAGTCTGGGTAGTGGTGGTGGGATGGGGTGTATTAAATATGAATAATTCCGGTGGACTGCAGTCTCTCTTTTACCAATGGAAGTTGAGGCTGTCAACCAGTGTCCAAGTCCGACGGCTTTGGCAACCGTAGGCGGAGGAAGGCAGAGGAGAAGAGAGTGAGAGTATTTTTTTTGTTATTTTTAATATTTTCATAAATTTTGAACGCATTTGCATTTTTAAAAGAGTTTAGGAGTAAGATTGCAATTTATTCTTTATTTTTAAGATTGCAATTTATTCTTTATTTTTAAGATTGCAATTTATTCTTTATTTTTCTTTTCTTTTTGTTTTATTTATATAGAAAGGTATATTGGTCATTTTAAGCTAAAAATATGTGAAAAAGATGTTTTTCGCAATGAAACATTGGAATAGGGGTGAAAATGCAAAAAATTGAAACGTAAGGACGTTTTGCACACCACATGCCAAATGTAGGTACGTTTTGTGCTATTAAGCCAATGTTTAAACATTGGAATCCTTGTGTTTGTGAAATAGGTACTTTCGACTGCTCTTGGTAGGATTGTACCAAATTTGATATCAAGGAAGCATACTAACAGCGCAGCTACAGGTTTTCTATCTCATTTTTTTATTTTTATTTTCTTGAATAATTCACCAAAAAGGTGTTTTGTTTAGTTCATTTTGTTCTTCACGGACAAATTATACACTGCTTAATTTCTTTAAGTTCAAAATAATCTATATAGAAGCCAACAAAAGATATTGTTGGTTTGAATTGGACAGCGAGTTCTGTACTTTTTTATAGACTGATTCCTATTCACTTCTATTCATTTTTGCCATTTTGAATTTTCAATTAGTACCTGAAGTAAGATCCCTCTTGCAGTTCTTTATGCCTTTTTTGGACTGCGACTACTTTATATTGCATGGAGATCAGCAGATTCAAAAGCTTCCCAGAAAAAAGAAATGGAGGAAGTATGTTTCACTAATTTGATACGTAATGTTTCGTAGTTATTTCATAATATAAATATAGCTAATAAATGTTGTCCCTTTGGATCTGAAAATTTTTTACACTATCACATTTTCTGCACCCCCAACCCATTTCCTTTGTATGACTGTGTGGATGTTTCAGGTGGAAGGGAAACTGGAAGGTGGACGAGGAAAAAGGGCGTACCGACGATTCTTTTCTAGATTTTGTACACCAATCTATTTAGAAGTATGTTTTGTGCTTACGACATTAAGTAATGTTTTTAATACATTAATAACATGTGATTTCAGTTTCACATCTCTGTTAAACGACTCCTGATAAAATTCTGTTGAATCAGGAATCAGGAATATTTTTTTATTCTGTTTCTATTTTTTCTGCTACATGGACTGTCGGGTAAAGGATTTGGTACTGTTAGATCTATTGGTAGAATTTATCAATGATCTAATGATGTATAAAAGGATTTGAATTTATCAATGATCTAATGATGTAAAAATGGGGTCTGTAGCCCAACCCAAATTTATTGGGAGTAAGGCTTGGTTTAATGTTATAACCTTGTCAGAACATGTTGCTATTTTCTCTGCTGTTACGTCAGAACATCCTGAATCCATGAATAATTATTTGTGAGTTTCTAATTGTTTTTCTCTCTGCAGTCATTTGTTTTGACCTTCCTAGCAGAATGGGGGGACCGCAGCCAGATAGCAACAATCGCTGTAAGACTTATTTTCCACTTATCAAGTGGCTTTGGTTTATGCATTCAAAGTTCTTAATCGAGATAGGTTTTTACTTTGGTTGTGAGTGTTTTTCTTTTCTTTCCCATTTGTTTAAATTCTCGTAAGCCTCAGCCATTTGAGGTCCAATTTTTCGGAAAGAGTGTAAATGGATCTTTAGCCCTTGTTTCTCCTTTACAGATTCATGTCTTACATCATATGCAATGACTTCTACTTGAAACCAGCAAGCACATCAGAGGATCTCACATTTAGCAAAGCTTAAACTTAAAATTTCTTTATGCTAGTCAAACATACTTTTTATTCACACATTTCGTATGTCCACTTATAATTCACATATTACGTGGAATTTACAACTTATAAGCACTTAAATATGACCAAACAAGCTCTAAGGTCAAGCACTTGTAAGAACGCGTTTGGTGAACCTTAATGCATGCACTTTTAAGTTAGTTTACTTACAATTAAATTTGTAATACTCGAAACTAAATAATTTTTTTATCTTGAAAATAATTTAGTGAGTTAGTTTGAAAGTAAATATTTGGCTTGATACAGGGTAAAAGTTAATTTCTTTCAAAATAAGTAACTATTTTTAGTTAAAAAATAAGAAAATTGAAACATAACATGTTTGGCAACAAAAAATAACTTTTTCTAACCTTAGCGAAACGTGTGGAATCATTGCTGCTTTAGATTGTTTAGTTGTGAATGTTTGATTAGGGTTTGTTTGTGAATGATTTTAATTCAATTAAAATTGAAAATATAGCCGTTATTGGGTCCTACATGTCTAATAAAAGTCAACAATAATGGTTAGTTTTTTAATTTTAATTCGATTTTAACCCTTCCCAAACAAGCTCTTAGTTGTGCCCAGGGGCGGATGTAGAACTTAAAAGTTAGGGGGCACAATCGAACTTGAAAAGAAGTTGAGAGAAATTTTACAATAAAAAATTTACGTTCAAAAAAATTATATTCGATGTAATTTTACATTCGAAAATTTGCATGAGATGTGACTTTTTCGGATTTTTTTTTATGTTATATTCCATATAAAATTTCCTAATAAAATGATGAAAATTATATTGAGAAATTTGTATCGCAAAAATAATAAATGTTAATGAAATAATTAAATTTAAAAAAAATGCGAGTTAGACATTTTTTTTAAAATTCATGTTTGACGTATTTTTAACTATTTTTGATATTTGTTTGGACTATTCGATATGCCTATAATGTAGTTCTCGAAATAAGTTTTGAGATGACATAAACAATTTGTAGATTTGATTAGCGTACGATCGTTGGAGAGTTTTTTTATTCGATATACTCATAATGTAGTTTTTGAAATAAGATTTGAGATGATATAAGCAATTTGTAGATTCGATTGGCGTACGATCGTCGAAAATTAGCATGTTATCGAAATTAAAATTTATTGTGATTTTGCCCTGTTTGGTAGAAATTAAAATCAAATTTTTAGTAAATATTGATAAAAGTTAAACAATTATGGATTCCATGAAATATGTTATTAAAATTAATTGTTAATTTTAATTTAGATTAAAATTTAGATTTCAATCGATACCAAACACGATTTTATATATAAAAAAAAAAATCTCAAAAGTGGGGGCGAGGGCGGGCACTTGCCCCCCAGGTTCTCCCATGGTTGTGCCATGCTATTTCATACCATACACTTTTGTGTGTAGTCGGTCATCCATCTGATTAGAGTTTGCTATAAATGAGATTTGTTCTCCTTGTTCACAGCTAGCTACTCACAAAAGTGCTATCGGAGTAGCAGTCGGGGCCATTATAGGACACGCGATTTGTACATCATTAGCTGTTGTGGGTGGAAGCATGCTTGCATCCAAGATCTCGCAACGCACTGTTGCCACAGTCGGTGGACTATTTTTCCTTGGTTTTTCGTTGTCTTCGTACTTGTATCCTCCTCTTGACGATGGAAGTTTAATTGATCAACTTTAGGAGTAATCATGCTATCTTTTTCAAGTTGATGTCTGTTAGGAAAGTTAAACGCTACGAGTGCACATTTTTTATGTTGTATATTGTATACATATCAATATTATGGTACAATTTATTTGTGGCACTTTTGAATAGGGATTACAAGGAGGCGAGGCGAGGCGAGGCGGGGTGAGGCGGGGCGGGGCGGGGTCCTTGCCCCATTTACTACCTGTTTAATTTTTTTGTTTTAATTTGTGATAATTTATTTTTATTGACCATATTCATTAGATTTAGATAAATAATTTTAGTTGCTATTTTCTATTAGAACTAATGAAATTTGGTGAAATTTTTTATTTAAAGTATTGAATTTTAAAAAAAAAAAAATGTAACGGGGCAGGGGCAGGGCGTCCGTTACTCGTCCCAGCCCCGGGGTAAAATTTCCCTCCCCATTCAGGGCGTGGCCCGCAGATATCGAGTTTGTCGGGTTTTTTTTCCCATCTCTAGTTTTGAATGAAGGTCGATAGTAGTATTTTGGTTCTCAACTTTTGATTGGTATTGCTATTAAAAATTTATTTTTTTTACTAAAAAGAAAGAAATAAAGTGGAGAGGTTTCTGGACTTCCCGTATATTAATCGAAATCAAATCCATGAGAAAGGTTGTATGCATAGTCTCGATCATTTACACAACCTTAATTTTCATTCTATTTGTGGGAATTGGGTACTATGGCAGAGGGAAGATCATGGAAATAATAAATTTTTACATAAAAGTTGATGAAATGTGTGACTGAAAAGTTGTGGATCTTATGAAATGTGTAATTAAAATTAACTATTGAATTTGATTTAGATTAAAATCTTGACCAAACAGGGGCTAAATAGTCACACGACGAAGGTATAGTTTTTTTCCTTCTCTCTTAGATAATTAAAAGAAAAAATTTTGATTCTTTCCTGAAAGGATAGAGCGCATTTGAGTTATTGACTCGTCCAATCCAACAATGAGTTGTTCAAATATTATAAAAGATATGGTCGAAAAGTGCTTTTTAATCTTAACTGGTCTAATTTACTTTAGTGATATCTCAACAATAGGAACAACTACAACAAAATAATTTGCCTTCAATATATTTAGGGTTAAATCTTTTTTAGGCAAACTCTATTCCACTCATTGCAAGAATATTGAGTCGATAGGGGGGATTTTTATAAAAGGCTTAGTCAAGCCCTTCAAAAAAAAATTTAGGCCACTATAAAAAGGTTTTTAAGGCATTTTTTAGGTTAAAATGTCCAAATTATCCTTTTACAAATTGTTAAAATATCTCAAATGCCCTTACCATATAATGATCATAATACCCATTTTTCAAATCAAAATTATAATCGTTAGTTTCATTTATTTTTCTTTGGAATTCCAACTTTCTTCTTCTCTTCCTCCTCCTCCTCCTCCTCCCCTTCTTCTTCTTCTTCTTTTTCTTATTCTTTAATTTATCTATAATCTTCCACTTTTTTATTCTTCTTTCTTCATTTAATCTAGTTTTACTCGAAATATAAAGAAGCACATCAAAGAAGAAACTCTTATATTTCTACATTTTATATTGGTAAGATATTATTTTCACTTTTAATTATTTTTTAATCTTGTGTTTTTTTTCATATATTCATCGTCATTTGTGTTTATTTAAGTGTTTGAATGTATTTTTCAATTTCAAGTAGTTTTGAAAAGCAAAATCTCATATATATTTTAGTTATAGATTCATTAAAGACGTTTTAAGCGATCACAGTCGTAAACGACTGTAAATGACCATAGAAACGACTGCAGTCACTTTATATTACTGTGATTGATTGTTTGCTAACATTCTAAAATCTTACTATTCTAATTACCGATATTGACTCAACAAATGGATTTCTATATTTTATTTTGGTGATTTTGTTAATGATGATCAAAGAAAATGGACATGAAAACGAAGTAGAAGTGATGAAATGGTGGAAGGAATTCCAATATCTTCAGATACTTCATACCATGATCTGTATTGTGAAGTGCTAAATTTAGGGCTGGACATGGTCCGGTTCGGTTCTCTTCAGAACCGAACCAACCCAAAATTTTCGGGTATTTAATAAATGGAATCTCAGGTCCAAATATAATTATGGAACCGTTCGGGGTTCAGTTCCGTTCGGTTCCCGAACGGTTTCGTACCATAATTAAATTTTTTAACATTTACAACAATACTACATAAATATAACTAATAACATGTTCATTCGTAACTATTACAAATTAACGTATCTCAATTTAAAAACATATAAATAACAAGTTGTCCAATAAGATTAATTCACTATATATAAATACCAAAAAGTAGAAAATTATTTAAATTTGCTAATTTGTTTAGAAAAAATTAAAATTATTTAATTAATTTAATATAAAAAATTTTAAAAATTATTTAGATTCGGTTCTTCAGTTCTTGGCCTAGAACTGAGAACTTAACCAAACCCAACCCATCGGTTCTCGATTCAAATACCCATTCAGGTATTTAATTTATGAAGAACCACTCGATTCGGTTCGGTTTGGGACTTTTGTCTAGCCCTAGCTAAATCTTCGCAAAGTTTCATCTTCGCATGAAATTGAGATTAGATTTTCCCCCTCTGGAAATGGACAGTTAACAGTTCCAATTAAAATTACTTCAGGCAAGCAAGTGCAATGTTCGCTATCTCTGAACAAAAAAAAAAAAAAATCATTGTCCCATTTGTGTAATCCTTATGAGCAAATATCTAGTTGAGCATCCACAAGAAGAAGAAGATAATGATTCATTTCACAAGACGATGAAATTTATTGTGCAATGCAAAATGAAGGTGACAATCTTCATTGTGAAATGCAAGCAGATAATGACAATGAAGTGAATCGGACTGAGAATATTTATTGGGATGAGTTGGAGATAGCTCAAGGCAATAATGTAGATATTATCACTAAAAATGGTAACACTGTTGTTTTCTCTATAGAGGGATCTGAGATGCTTCAAAACAATAAAGAAGAAAATCATTTTACAAATGAGTACCTTGTAGCTTCAACTCTTATATTACACATGATTCCTGAAGATGCAGATTTAGAAGATCGGCAATTTTTCAACGTGAAAAAGACCTTATGATGGAAATCCACATGCTTGAAATGAAGTACAACCTTGAATTTAGAGTAAAGAAATCAAATAAGGAAGTCTTTACAATTGTTTACATAGATGAAAAATGAAAATGACATTTGCTAGCAACTAAAATAAAAAATTGTGATTACTTTCAAGTTCGCAAGTATGCACGTGAACATACTTGTTCTGTGAGTATTCACTGGAATAATCATAGATAGGCAAGAGTGTTGATTGTTGGAAGACATATAATGCCTAAGTTTCAAAATCTCAACACATTATATAGACCTGCAGATATCATTAATGACATGCGTTGGGAATTCAGGGTAGACATGAGTTATAAGAGGGCACATAATTCATGAGAATGTGCTTCGGAAGTTTTAAGAGGTTCTTCAGATGATAGTTATGCTAAATTGGGAATTTGGCTAGAACAAAACTTGGAACATCATTGTCTTTAGAGATTGACGATGAGAATCATTTCAAGTACTTTTTATGGCTCTCGGACCTTGTATTTGTGGATTCTGCTCTACAATGTAGAATGTAGTTGTCATTGATGGAACATTTTTGACAAAGAAATATAAAGGTACATTGATTGTTGCTACTTGTCAGGATGCAAACATTCAGGTTTATCCTCTTGCTTGGGATATAGTTGATTTTGAGAATGATGCATCGTGAACTTTATTTTTACGAAGTTGAAAGAATTAACAGGGGATACTGAAGATCAGGTTGTTATATCTGATCGACATCCAAGTATTATCAACAGTGTTCAAGGTGTCTATAAAAAGGCCCATCATGAACATTGTATCTATCATACAAAAGGCAACTCAAGGATAGTAACTCGAAAAATCGAGATTTTCCTACTTTTTAAGAAAGTAGCAGAGGCATATACTTTAGAAGAGTTTGGAAATTATACGAATGAAATAAAGAGAATTGATCTTAAAGATTGGAATTATTTAGTCAAAGCACGTTTTCATACTTGGGCTAGGTCACACTTTCAGTATCATGACATTAAACAATGTAGAGTCACTAAATTTGGTGTTTAAGAAAGATCGTCAGAATCCGATACTTCCATTTATTGAGAGTATCAGAAAAATATTGCAAAAATGATTTTATGAGAGGCATGTGAATGTATAGAGTTGTACAAGCACTCTAACGCTAATAATTGAAGAAAAATTGCGTAAGAATGTTGATAAAGCCAAGAAGTTTGTTTCTGTGCCGATCTATCAGTTCATGTATAATGTGAGGAACGAAACCATGGATTTTATTGTTAACTTGGATGAAAAAACTTGTACTTGTAGACGGTTTCAATTAGGACATTTACCGTGCAAGCATGCAGTAGCTGCGGCTTAGAAGATTGGCTATTCAATTTACTAGTTTTGCTCTCTCTATCTTATACTGTTGAATATTAGAAACTAACTTACAATGATAGTATTTTTTTCAGTGCCAAATGAAGTTGATTTGGAAATTCTTGAAAATTTTGGCTTCCTCAATGTGTTGCCGCCACTAGTACGACAACGAAGTGGATGTACTAAAACAAGGATTCTGTCTACTCGAGAGTTTTCGAAAAGACACAAGTGTAATAGGTGTGCTGCAACTGGACACAACCGAATAACATGTACAAGTCAGATACCTTTAGCTGATAGAAGATTAGATGACTAATATATTGTTCGTTTGGTTGATTTCATGTCATTTAGATAACAATGCAAATTGATTTCTACTTATTACAATTTATACTCTATATTGTGAGTTTTTATCGTAATTCATGCCAAAATTATGTTATGAATATTGGGAAGTTTTTTGCATGTTCGTTTATTTCATATAATAAGTGATGAATAGAAAACAACTGCGATCGTTTTAAACGATCGGAGTCATTTTCAATTTTACTAGGGCTCCGACCACTGTTTACAAAAAGGAATCC